TTCAGCTGATTTTGAATAATGTCACAACAGGCACACCGGCACACACCAATTCTATCTGGGGAACAGCGGCATCGGAATTACTATTCTGTGCAAATGTGTTTTCATTTGCACATTGGAATGCAAACATTACTTTAACTTGCAAAGAGCTAGATTCCCAAGGACAGCATGTCAAAATGAGATTGCATTGATTCCCCTCCTGCTTGTGTGAAATTGTGAGGAGGCTGAGAAAGAAACGGAAGGGAAAGACGGATGGGGAGTCTTCTGTTTGCAAGTTGGTTTGCAATTCTGATCGGTGATCATAATTAAAAAACATTCAGAATAGCAGAGTTGGAAGGGACCTTGGAGGTCTTCTAGACCAACCCCTTGCTTAGGCAGGAGACCTTATACCATTTCAGGCAAATGGTTGTCCAATCTCTATTTAAAAACCTCCAGTGTTGAAGTATTCATAACCTTTGGAGGTTCCACTGGTTAATTGTTCTCACTGTCAGGAAATTTCTCCTTAGTTCTAGATTGTTTCTCTCCTTGATTAGTTTCCTCCATTGCTTGCTTGTAGTCTTGCCCTCTGGTGCTATGGAGAATAGGTTGAACCCCCTCTTCTTTACGGCAGCCCTGAGATATTGGAACACTGCTACCATGTCACCCCTTCTTTTCATTAAATTAGATATACCTAATTCCTGCAACCATCCCTCATATGTTTTAGCCTTATTTTTGTTGCTCTTCTCTACACTCTTTCTAGAATATCAGTGTCCTACATAGAATGGAGTGGAGTGGAACGGAATGGAACAGAACAGAACAGAACAGAATATTTTAGTTGGAAAGGAGCTTAGAGGTCTTCCAGTCCAACCCCCTGCTTAGGCAGGAAACCCTACACACCCATGTTGGCGAACCTATGCCACGCGTGCTGGAAGTGGCACGCAGAGCAATTTCCCCCCGGCACACGAGAGGTCGCATGCGCCACCACCCAACAACTCATTGTCAGGTGTCTGGCGTGCATGTGCAGAGAGGTGGAGGGGGTGCGCAGGAGATGCGCACACATGCTCAGGGATGCACTGCGTGCAGGGATTGCACACACATGCGCAGATGCAGCGCACAAGGGGGAATTGCATGCACATGAACCGGGGGCCTGAGGGGCCAGCACACATTGCCTTCTGGGTGCTGGCATGCAAGCGCGCACACAATTATCAGCACGGGAGCCGAAAAAGTTTTGCCACCACTGCTATACACCATTTCAGACAAATGGTTGTCCAATCTCTTCTTAAAAGCTTCCAGTGTTGGAGCATTCACAACTTCTGGAGGTAAGTTGTTCCACTGATTAACTGTTCTGTCAGGAAATTTCTTCTTAGTTCTAGGTTGCTTCTCTCCTTGATTTATATCACGGCGACCAAAACTGGATGCAGTATTCCAAGTGTGGCCTTAACCAAGGCCTATTCATATCCATAGAGAGTCCATTGGCATTTTATTTCATAAACCCCAACTCAATCCAAGCGGAGAGAAATCTAGGAATAAGCATCTGAAGCTGACCTCTGCTATAAGAAACTTGCTCTAATTGAGGCAAGGAAATTCTTTTAAGTTTCTAAGCACTGAAGATACTTTCCAAAAATCTGTCTAGTCTGCGCTTCCTTGATCTTGCCAGGAACTGCAGAACTCAACCCCACCCTTGTAACCCTGGTGAAAACGCCTCTGAATTAATTCCATTGACATATAGCTGGCTGACATCAGTGCCAGCCAGAGTTACATTAACCCAGTTACATTACCATAGTAACCTTGGATGGCTGTAAGTGTGAAGACCAAGTTGTAAGTCACTTTTTTCCAGCACCATGGTAACGTCAAACTGTTGCTAAAGGAGTTGTTGTACATTGTGGACTACCCAGATACGAAACAGCCATACCACAAATGTGTGGTACTGGTTATGTCAGGGGTCCCCAACCAACGGTCCGCAGACCGGTACCGGTCTGTGGAACAAGTCCTACCGGGCCGCTGGTTTGCTGGGCGCCGCCATCTTTTTTTGATGAAAAAGTGCTTCCGGTGAGCTTTTCCGGGTAGAAAGCTCACCGGAAGCACTTTTTCATCAAAAAAAGATGGCGGCGCCCAGCTAATGCCGGTACTGGGCCGCGCCATAAAAAAGGTTGGGGATACCGGGCTGTGGCATAAGAAAGGTTGGGGGTCACTGGGTTATGTGACAAGGAAAGAACTGTGCAGATGGGAAGACACTGAGATTAGTCTTTTGTTTGAGCCCAGTATTCACCCAAGATCAGTGCAAAGACTTGTTTTCAATTCCCAAAGAACAGGGCAATTTCAGATGTTAAGACAGGCCAATGACATTTAAAAAAAAAACAACTGAGAATATTCCTGAACATTAGAGCAATGAAAATGAAAAAGCAGCTCCGTTCTCTTTAGACAACCATAATCAATCACTTCTACCTCGGTCTCAAATGACCCAGAGGACTGAAGTTTAAAAGGCTGCCGAAATGTGGCTCACAGAAAACATTGGGAAAATATCTTCCTAATGAATCACGTTGCAATTGTCAACCCGAGAGGATTATTAACAGAAAATTAGTTCTGTTAAATGCCAGCAACCTTGAACAAACATAATGGTTATCTTCACCAGGCCATTCCAATTACAAACACAAAGAACAATTTGCATTTTTAGAAATTTTTCATTCCTTACCCAAACAGTTTCCATATCCTGCCAGAGGTATCTTCAAAACCCTTCCAAGTCTAAAAAGAGGTCTGTGGCAAATTTTTAAGGTCTAAATCATGTCTTTCTTTTTTTTTTTTTTTTTTCCTTGTGAGTCACAAAATACCCATTCTTCTGCTCAGCAATATGCATTCTTTTCCAAGTCTCTTAAAAGAGACTTAAGCAGCAGAAAGAAAAATGCTGATTGTAGTATGTCCGGAGACAATGGAATTTGGTGTCTGCTACCCTGAATCCTGCCAGGATCAACTTCTAGAGCAGATCTACAGTAATCTCCAAGCCAAATACCACCCTGCAGGCTATGTTGCACACTTCATGGGTAACTTAATAAATCCAAGATTGTATTTGCTGTGGAAAGCCTCAGGTTAAGGAAGCATCTCCAGACCAGTGAAAACTTACCCACAGTAAAAGGTACCTACCACCTATGCATTGTAGTTTATTGATACTTGTTAATCTGCAAAGGCCTAGTGATCTGGGAGCACCTCAGGAGTCTGGTCTAATCCAGATAGTGCCACATTTTATTTTATTTTTCATAGCACAATGGATGTGCTTCTGAGATCCCACAAGCAGGATGCAAGGACAACAGTGTTCTCCTGTTGTCGCTTCCCAACTAACTGCATTTCAGAGGCACTAAGCTTGCTTGTCATAGACCTCCACGTTCCATAGGGTTACCCTTCCAAACCATTAAGGACAAATCACCCTTTTCTTATTAATGTAATCCAAGCAATTTAGTCGGTGTTCTGTTCTTTATCTGTTTACAGCAATAGACAGAATCTTGCCAGACTAAATTCTTACTTCTCAGCCCTAATGGATACTGTATAATCTGGGAGATTCTCAGGAGTGGCTATCCTTACTCTCTTCCTCTGCCTCCTATCCAGCTCTGGGCTGGCCTGCCTCTTATCTTGCTTCCTTTTGTTGAATATACTGCCTCTTTCTTTGGAAACTCCACTTTGTTTGTAATCCATCACACCAGCTCCCTCTCTCACAAACCCACCATGAGTCAGTCTGGGGGCGATAATCTAAGATGGGAACTTCTTAGATTTTTGGGCAGACACAGTGAGTTCTCAACTAGATTTGAAATTCCTAGATGTCCAGAAATGGAAATGTTTAGACACCTGCCAAAACCCTATAACTCAGAGGATCCAACATAAATCCTACCAGGGAGTTCTTATTCCACCATATCCAACATAAAAGCATCATGCTGACAGTCCACTGAAATCAGATATCAACTCCAGTTGCATTGAGGTCCCAACTACAGATATTCTTTGTTCATTTCCATGTCTCCTAAAAGTGCCAGCCTACCTCCTAAGATATACCTATAAATGCCCACTGCATAGAAAGAAAGTGGGTGAAGGTAGAGTTGCATAGACAGTGTTTATGAGCTAAAGATTGGAAATATCAGTCAGCAACTTCTTTAGGAGAAAAAAAAAGAGGCTGGAGGATTAATGTTGATCAACCTCAGAATCTAAAATCACTTGCCTCAGGAGCAAATGCCAAAGAGATGATTCATTTTCATAGGAACTAGTATGATTTCTAGTGAACCATGTGAACTGGGGAGAGGAGAAAGGAAGAAAGTTGTCCTTGTTTTCTAGTTGTATTAAGTGTGCACTGGCCAAAACAATATACCAATTCGCAAATGCATCATAGTACAACTTAGTTCACTGTAAATGGGGGGGGGGGTTTGTCTTGTACATTATGGGAGCTGAGAAAAGCAGAATCAGATTATCCAAATCCTCTTTTCAAAATTACCTGGTAAAATATCAGACAAAATTCTGATTTAGGACAAAGTTAACCCAAAATGGGACAATGAACCCCCCCAAACTTACTTACTTACTTACTTACTTTCTTACTTTCCTACTTTCTTTCTTTCTTTCTTTCCTTCCTTCCTTCCTTCCTTCTTTCTTTCTTTCTTTCCTTCCTTCCTTCCTTCCTTCCTTCCTTCCTTCCTTCCTTCCTTCCTTCCTTCCTTCCTTCCTTTCTTTCTTTTTCATATAACTGCCCATCCTAACAACTGATTCTGGGAGGTGAGCAATCATAAAATGAATTAAAACCTTTGCAAGGAAGTCTCACCACTCCACTCCACACCACTTCACTTCACTTTTGTTTCTTTACTTGATCGTCACTGCACCTTATACAATGAAGTTAAATGCCATCTTCAGTGTATATTATACTAACATAAAATAAAAACACACATCCTCCCATTCCATACAATTAAACTGACAACCCCTGATATTGCATTAGTATTGCACTATGCAGTAGAATTTGACATAATTACTGTTCTGGGATAGAAGCTGTTCACACTTACCTATGTAGAGTGAAGAATCCTTCCGCTTCACATGGTCATCAATGTAGGAGACTCCCAAAGGTTGCACAGGAGTTGCCCCAATCCCCAGAAGGACTTGTGCTCCAATGAGAAGCAAATACATCATGTTCGTAGCAGTCCTGTTCCTGCAGATGCGATCAGGATCTGATCCCTCATCACTAGTGGACCCGTTGGCTGTGCAGACATCCCTCCCTTCAGCCCTCCATCGGATCTCTCCGGATTCATACTCGTACTGATGGGTGAGGAATTCTGGCAGAGCGGAGAGAAGGGCTCCCAAAGCCATAATGATCCCTCCGCATCCTATCAAACGCGGCCGGTGTCCCCGGGCACCAAAGTAGCTCACAAAAAGGATGAGGACCAAGTTGCCGATCTCAAAGCTGCTGGCAATCACACCAACGTCAGCACTCTGGAGGTTGAACCGCCGTTCCAAGGTGGTCAAGATGCTCACCTGCAAGGAAAGAGAGCAAGAAATGAGAGGTGGTTTGCTTCAAAGCAGGGCATCCTTACGATGGGGAATCATTTCCCCGATAACCAGAGGTGGTATATTCAGCCAGTTCTGAACGGTTCTGGAGAACTGGTAGCGGAAATTTTGAGTAGTTTGGAGAACCAGCAAATACCTCCTCTGACTGGCCCCGCCCGCATCTATTCTCTGCCTCCTGAGTCCCAGCAGATCGGCTTTTTGTTGCCCTGCACAGGAGAACGGACCTGGAAAGCAGGTTAGTGGGGTGGGGAGGGAATGGGGATTTTGCAGTATCCTTCCCCTGCCATGCCCACCAAGCCACACCCACCAAGCCACACCACGCCCACTTGGCTTGAATTCGTAGGGACACCAATAGCTCCTTTTTGAAAGAGCTTATACACAAGGTCTAATCCAGCGAAAAGGAGGACCGGTGGGATATGATAGCAGTCTTCCAATATTTGAGGGGCTGCCATAAAAGGAAGAGGCGGTCAAGCTATTCTCCAAAGCACCTGAAGACAGGACAAGAAGCAATGATGGGAACTAATCAAGGAGAGAAGCAACCTAGAGCTAAGGAGGAATTTCCTAACAGCAAGAACCAATGGAACAGGTTGCCTTCAGAAGTTGTGGGTGCTCCACCACTGGAAGCTTTTAAGTAGAGATTGGACAGCCATTTATCCAGAATGGTACAGGGTCTCCTGCTTATGCAGCGGGTTGGACTAGAAGACCTCCAAGCTCCCTTCCAACTCTGTTATTCTGTTAAGGGCAGACTTTGCACAATACAGGTCACCCAATTTTAGCCAGCGGGATCATTTTCTAGCTTTCTATAATACAACAAATCATAACCGTATCAAACAGGTTTGGATCATGCAAATTGCAAAGCAAAGGAAGGAAGGAAACTATGCTGTGTGAATACAGCCACTAGATCTGTAACTAAACTGGTAAAAGTGTGTTGTGAGAATGCAGGAGAGAGACAGAGACAGAGGGACAGAAAGAGACAGAGACAGAGAGACCAAGACAGAGACAGAGAGAGACAGAGACAGAGAGTGTGTGTAAAGGAGATTAATTTTTTTGATCTCCCTTAAAAATTCTAAAGCAAACCTAACCTCTTTTTCTTTTCCATTTCAAAAATTCACAAAGTCACTGAAGACTTTGCTGTCTCTGGAGAAAATCAAAAATAGCCAGGACTGGAGGCAATTGCAAAGTTTTCTAATATGCACCCTTCAAAGCAAAAGATGCCCTGAAGCCAACTTCTAGGAGGCTCTGACAGCATTTGTTATCCCACAACAACTTCTCCCAGGGTACCTGAAGATGCAGAGGAGGGATAGGAAGTTCATTGGGTAGGGAAAGAATGTGTGCACTTGGGGAAAAATACCAAGATGGTTCACCAATCTGGTGCAGAAAGACCATTCTCAGGGCAATGGTGAATAACAGCTGTTCTCTGCAACTGTCGTCCCTTTGCCTAAATTCTACCTGTCCCAAGGGTGCTTTTTTTTTTCAAAAGGCAACTGGACTTTGTTTTTCTCTTGAAAACATTTCACTTCTCATCCGAGAGAAGCAAAAAGTCTGCAAGGAAGGAGAAAAATGTCTTTTGAAAAAATGTCTTTTGAAACATCGCTGGAGGCTTTGAAGAAGAGACTGGACTGCCATTTGTCAGGAATGGTGTAGGGTCTCCTGCTTGGGTGGGGACGGTTGGACTGGATGACCTGCAAGGTCCCTTCCAACTCTGTTAATCTGTCATCTGTCATCAGTCCTCTTGTTTGAAGAACTGAAGAAAGTTCTTGGATGAGAAGCAAGGAAAAAGGGAAATATCTTCTTGCTCGTCAGAGCTGAAGAAGCTTCTTGGAATGAGAAAACTTAGGTTTTGTTTTGTTTTTGTTTTAAATCCAAATCAATAATATAGACCTGTTACACAAGAAGGTTGTGGCGAACCAGTTTGCTGTTGACATAAAATGCCTCTCCATCTTTTGGGCAACCCCTTTTTCAAAAACGGCCCATTCCTATCAGATAAGCCACAAGTGCTGAGAATGCTAACCTTGCTGCTGTCCTGAGGGATGTCCATTTATGGCCTGGAAGCTGCTCTGCATTGCAGTGATAAACTGCTGTAATAAAGGTGGCTAAGCAACACAAAAGAAGCAACCACTTGTGCTTTAGTCCCACAAATAGGCAGAGCTCTTCGAAACAGGGATGGAACAGCTTGCCACACCACAGCCAACTTGCTGTGGCCAACTCACCGTGGGACAATTTAAGAATTCTATTTCATTATTTAAAACAAATAAAAATTATCTTAATTTTTGCCGTTCACATTTCATTCTGTCCCTCCTTCGGCATCCTTTCTTTAAGGATTCTATTCCATTATTTCTTTGATATTGGCGTCATTCTTGTCCCCAGCAAGTTGGCCATGGTGAGTTGGTCATGGCGATTTGGCCAGAGCGAATTGTCATAGAACCTAGTTCCCAGCAGGCAAGCCATGGATGCAGTTGTCTGTACACGCACAGGTGTTCTCCTCCTTAGGAAATGGAGTTCAGGAGAGGGTCCTAAGCATTCATGGCAATATTTTCTTGGATGAATATTTCCTAAAGAGCCATTGCAGGATGCAATGTGGTTGAGCAGCGGCCAAGGATGTCCTCTTCTCTTCTCTTCCCTTACCCCCACCCCCCAGGCCAGGAAGGAGAAGCAAACCAGGCTGCAAGGCTAACTGAACCTCCAGAAGAAGAAAGTCAATACTCTAAAATAAGCAAAAGGGTATTGTATGAAAGCAAACTTAAAATAGTTGTCCAAAACCTGAGTATCATAGAACTACGGCCTTATCTTACAAGATACATGCTAGGGTAACAAAATCAACCCTGACTGTACTTTGGAAGGACAGATAGTGAAGTTGAAGGTCAAATATTTCAGCCACCAAATGAAAAGAGAGGATTCATGGGAAAAGACTCTGATGTTGGGAAGGATGGAAAGCAAAAGGAGAAGGGGATGGCAGAGGACAAGATGGTTAGATAGTGGCGTCAACACAATGAACATGAATTGGGGCAAATTCTGAGAGACAATGGAGGACAGTTAAGCCTAGCATGCTGTGTTCCATGAAGACATGAAGAGTCGGACATGACTTAGCAATTGAACAACAAAAGATGCTAGGGAATAACCTGCAATTAATGCTGAAACCAGTTAGCAGCATCAAATGAGACAATGAAGAGTACTTTGCAGGTATCTCAAAGCGTAATGCTACTTCTGTGGTCCTCAATATCCTTCTGCTACACCTGTGACTGTTGGTTTTCGCTTCAAAATGAAACCGGGTGGCCATTTCCAGACTAAATAACTACAGGCTGATCTGTCTTGGTCAATTAGGCAAGCCCCTTGCCTTTTTAGACCAGAGAAGCACAAGAATATCATATCAACCAGAATTTGTCCAAAAGGTGCTTTTTCAAAAGGCAACTGGACTTCTTTTGTTTTTTTCTCTTGAAGACATTTCGTTTCTAATCTGAGCAGCTTCTTCAGTTCTAACTGAATGGTGGGTTCACATCTAAGAAACTTCTCATCCAAGAAGCATCTTCAGAACGAAAGATGCTCCTTAGATGAGAAGCGAAACGTCTTCAAGAGAAAAAAGGACAACGAAGAAAGGTCAGCTGCCTTTTGAAAAAGCACCTTTGGGTGATGAATAATATGAATCTAGAGCATGGAAATCCAAAAGTATAATATTGTTATTAATATTTACAATTGGTTTGGTATATAAATGCTTTTGAAATAAATATAAGATTTATTATGTAATAGAGAAAGAATACCATGTGGAACCCGATTGGGAGAAAAAGAAATATGTGCATATATAATAGTAAATAGGATATCATTGTGGTTAATATAGGATGTAGTAACTAAAAATGGCCATATCGATATGTGTTTTTTTTTCTATTTTTTAATTTGTTATATATTGGGTTTAATGGAATAAAGAGGGGAGAATATCTAAAATAAAAATAGGTGGCAAGATTGAATTGACAATGAAAGGGGATAAATATACGATAGCATATTTTAGGATGAAACTTTTTTCTGACTGGAAATGATGAATGAAATAACATGAAGTGATAAAACATATTAAAAGAAAAATGATATGATATGAAACTGGATAAGAAAGCTGAAAATGTAATTATGATTATGTATCTATGTTAAAACCTGGAATCACATTGTTCACTCAAACAGATGTTTAAAGAATAAAAATAAATAAATAAATTTGGGGAAAAAAGAAAAGAAAAAGCAACCATGACCTGGATAACTTGAGAATCTCCATAGACAATTAGAATGTTGTGGTCTTGAGTTGCCTATAGTTTGGTTTCCCATTTGAAAATGGAAAAGCGCTGGTTGGAATTCTTGCGTTGTAACCTAAACCTTTGCTCTAATAAATATTACTAAACAGACCTCTGGGAAATTTGATCTTTGGACTCACTCGATTGCTAAGAGAGAAGGCTGTTAATGCCCAGCACGTGGCAGATGGAAAGCTAGCAAGATGTGTCTACTGATTAGAAAGAGCCATGACAATGGAGCCCAGGATATAAAAGAGGGGTTCTTGAAAGGAAGGCAGATATAGGACAAAGCATTCTAGGGCTTTAAACAGTGTAAACAAGCCATCTGAAAAAGAAGGCTTTGTGCAAACATCAAGGGCTGTTACACTGTTGTGCACATCGCAAAGGAACTGGGGCCAGATGACAAAAGGGGTTGCACCTGGCCTTGTAAGCCCACAAATGAATCATTGCTTTTCAGAACATTGTGAATTTGCTAGAAAGTTTTCCTGTCGCTCGTAATGGAGGGAGCTCTAATGCAGCATGTTATCTGGCTTATGTTTTGTTGAACCTGCTTTTAAAAAGAAATCATGTAAAAGTACAAAGCTTCTTGGGTGAGAAGTGAAACGTTTTCAAGGAAAAAAACAAGAAAGTCCAGTTGCCTTTTGGAAAAGCGTGCTTGGGACAACCATGATCTGGACGATTGAGAATCTTCACAGACGTTAA